ATGAAGTTGCGAGACGCTCCGCAATCAATCAAGGCACTACAGGTTGCCTTTCCGATTTGAATGCGGATATAGAGCAAAGGTGCGTCGGTTTCGGCGTACCTTTGGGTGGCGTGCTCGCGGTCGATCTTCGCAAGATAGGAGCGGAGATCGGCAACCTCTACCCCGTCGTCCGTCAACGGAGCTGGTACTGTAGTGTACAAGTAGAAGTGTAGATTTGCCATCAAGGCGTTGCAATGCGGCCTTGGCAAGGTTCCGGTCGAGGGTAGAGGTATCCAAGCGGAATCCTCTCTCGTGAGCGGGTCAAGGTCCTCAAGTCTTGACCACGCCGTCGAGTCCTCGGAAAGCAGTGGCGAACTGACGGCATCACTTGCCGACGGTGTACAGGCTGCGCATACGCAATCTACATGCACGTGGCTAGGCTGGTCTAATGGTGGTACCAGCTAGGCGGCATAATCCTCGTACGTAGCACGAGAATCAGCGACTAACGCATGCTCCACGGTAGTGACATCCATTGCTAGCAAGGCAACCGGGTCCGGCGGAGTGAGGAGAGACGTCGCCCCTCTCCTTGCGTAACTCAGTTTCCCGAGTTGGCTGGACGGGGTACGAGTGCCTTGCCCTTGTCCGGGCATTGTGCGGTAGTGTGTACTACACTGTTGCGCCATAGGCAGTATGCGTACTTCTGACGTAGGTCATAGACCTCCTTGGTGATTTTATAAGCCGTCCATGGCTGCTGCCCAGCTCCCGTCGCCGCTGTCCCTTGTGTCGCCTTGTTCTTGCGAACTCTCTTGGACGCTTCGGCGGGAGCGCTGCGACCATTCCTCCATCACTCGAGGATGCTTCCGCAACGTGGTGGTTGTCGATTTCCTCAGAAAACACGGCATTGTTATGTGTCGGACGTTGATAGGCCTGCTTAGCCACATAATGCGGCTGGGATTGTCTCTCGTTAGCGGCCTTGTTGTCCGTTTGGATGACCAAGTTCGCTCGATCCAGAATGGTCTGGAATGTAGTATAGTCGTACTCATTACCGAGTGCTGACCGCAATCCCGCGCACGATCGCGAGAAGAACTCGGATCGTTGATTTGGAAACGTCAAGTCGAAACCTGTTGTGGTCACTATCTTTTGCCACTTCGTTGTCCAGTCTCGAGTTGGCATGTTCCCCTGAGAGCATGTGTACACCTCATTCATGGCCGCCTTCACGACGTTGCGGACCATGAACCGGGTGAACCATAGCTGCTCGAACTCCTTCCACGTAATGTGCGTGTGGAGTTCGGCGATAGTGCACTTGTGTGTAGCCGCTAGGTGGTTCATCCATCCCTGCGCTCCTCCAATATAGTGCCTTCAACATGTCGTCCGCCGGGACCATGCGGCATGATGCTTCCGTGAGGAAGCGTTGCCACCATGACAAGGCGTCCGACTTGTTGTAATCGTCGAACTTGTTGATGTCGAAGTGCGGCATCTTGAACGTCTTTGTAGCGGCTTCCGGTCTCGTCTGTAGCTTGGTGATGTCCGTCTTGATGGCGGCCACCGTGTTGCTGATCGAGTCTGGTCCGTTGAAAGTACTTATGTCGCCGATGATGGTGACGACGTGATCGATGCGCTCGTTGAGTTGCTTCGTCACGTCTGTCGTGCAGCCTGGCGCTGCTGAGGCGTTAGCCACTATGCTGTTGACGCGTGTGATAGTGGAATTCAACAGATGATGTTGTTGCTGCTGCTGCGTTGCCTCTGTGCGGATAGCAGTTGTTAACGCAGTCATATCGTTCTTGTATGTTTGTCGCTGCGTCGCGTCCGTGCGCAGATGTGAATGCAGCAGTGTATTATTCCACATAATACCTCTCATCATGCCCAGCGGCAAGTTAGCCAGGTTACTTCTCTCTGCCTCTGCCGGTGTTGGGTCTGCCTGCTCTTCCGTAGGCACAAAGATCATGCCTTGGAGTATCGTCGTCCACTGATGCTCACAAGCAATCAAGGACTCCGTGCTGCTGGCATTCCGTCTGTCTCGTGTCTCTGCGTCAGTCTCAGTCGTTCGCTGAGCTTCGGYTGCCGCTTCATTGGCTAGCCGCTGACGTTCTGCCTCTGCTGTCTCCTTCCGGGCCTCGACGGCAGCTACGGCTTCCGTAAATGCCAGTAGCCGCCCACGATAATCAGTCGCTGGCTCATTGGCTCCTCAGACTGGGTATGCGGGATGATCTCCGGTGGCGTCTTGTACCGTCAATGCCGTACTTGATGCTGCTGGAGTCGTCCACCTGCTGAGTTTCTTCGGTCTTGGAGGTACTGCAGGAAGGGCACGAACTGCGATTCTGGCACTGCGTCGTGGCAGTGCCCCGGTGTCCTGTTCCGTCGACATCAGTCTGAACCGATGCGGTACTTGAGAAGTCCCGGTAATCACAGAACACGGGGGGTAGGGAGAGTGGGAACAGGGGTAGAACAATCAAGCAATACACCTACAATCCCCTGTCCCACTTGTTGGACTATAAACCCCTAATCAAAACCCAAAAATAAATTCCCGGAACCAATTCARAAAATTCGTAATAAAATAATTAACRATTTAATCAATAAATTTAATTAATRAAAAAATACGAGATAATTAATCAMTGAAATCATAAAACGAATTTGAATGGTAATATGACTAGGTCTCTTYCGAGATTACTATGAGACCAGGAGTTCTCCGTTTAATAAGTGAACTGCCCGGTAGTTGCAATTGAAGGGTCATATACAGATTAGTTTGCAGAACAAATTTCGAAAATTCGGTAGAGAAAAAAAACGCTCGAAATTTCAAAACGTGAAATTTCGAGAATTCCCACCGTCAAAATCCGATTTTTAAACGCTAAATCCGTCTTTCGGAATTTCTCCAAGAAGATGAACGAAAAATATTTCCGCGAAAATTTCGGCCCTAACCCTAATTTTCCGCGTTTCCGCGAAATTTCCGGAATTACGGTTTCAAAACGTTCGGAATTTACCACCTTCTTAAAAAAAAAACCCGAAATTTTTCGTAACCCTAATTCCAATAACGAAATATTACGGAACTACCGTTTTTAGGAAAACAAAATATCAGATTTCACAGAATGCTGAATTAAAACGGAAAACCGAAATGGAAATCTGAATGCCGAATTAACAGACTACTGCTTCCCTTAATTTCGTTTTAAAAACAGAAATCCGATTTTACACATCTCGGATGGAATTTCTCGGAACCTGATTTACATGGCATACCGATTTGAAACAGAATCCGAAAGAGTAATCCAGAATGCTGAATCAAAA